AAAAAAACTCCAAAAGAAAGAATCCCGACGGATTCATCATTCTATCTATAGTTCCATTGGTAAAGTTACTGATGGAATATTGATGGAGTTATTCTGTCCCTAGAAATGTCAGTGATTATAATATATGCAGTAAATATTTTGTAATTTTGAATTTAAAAAATTTAAATATTTTTTTTTCTTTTCATTTTAGTACACCATTTTTTAAAAATCTCATACAAAAACACGCAACAAAATTTAAAAAGTGCCTTGGGCTCTGAATTCTCACAACCAGGGAGATAGCTTTCAGAGACCGTCTACGTATATACAATTATAAAATATAAATCCATAATCATACAAGATGGATGGTAAGCAACAAAACGTTAGCGTCGACGTCTAAATCCATAATCATACCAAGATCTGGTCTTTGGCTTTATTCAAATTATACACGAGGTTACACAGAGGTTTAGACTTATGGAAACGGGATTGATGGGTTAGAGTTCAGGGGCAGATGTAGAGGAATTTCCAATCCATGATTTATCAGATGGAGGAAAGAAGTCTTGTGTGCTGTTTAAACTCTGGTCTGTGACCTGCTGATAGTGGCCTTTGACACGTTTGGAGTGTAACTCATCACCATAAATGCTAGGATCTGAGGTCACCTCCGGGATGCTGGTCTGTCCTTCAAGCATGCTTACCACTTCTGACATTGCAGGCCTTATAGATGGAGAAGCATTGGTGCATAAGAGAGCCGCTTTGATCATCCTCTCAGCCTCTTCCTTGTTGAATTCAGACTGCAGCTTTGGGTCCACTATCTCCATTAAGTTTTCCTTTTTTTGCAATACATGGGCCTGGGACGACAATTTCATAGACAAATAAGAAGGAAGCCATGATATTTTACCAAATTGCCATGTTTTGCATTGAGAACTGATGCCTCACGCGTCATTAATTCAGGATAGCAACGGAAACAGACTGACGATGATTTACCCAGTCAAGAAGACAAACATTTTCGTTCTCTGGCCTGTAAATTGAGTTGCTCTTTCCACTGACAATTTCTAAGGCGACAACCCCAAAACTATAAACATCTGCTTTATCTGTTAGATGCCCCCACAGTGCATATTCTGGAGCTATATATCCTCTGAAATATATATATTTTTAAAAAAATAATAATGCAAAATTAGTGCCCTTCAGAGACTTGAGGAGTATCACTATCAATAAACTTCAGGAATTAAATTAGTCTCAATACAGCATACCTTGTTCCAGCAACTCGAGTGCTAATATGAGTGTTCTCCTCTTCATTGAGCTTAGCTAGTCCGAAGTCTGATATCTTGGCATTTAGATCTTTGTCCAGTAATATATTTGTACTTTTGATGTCCCTGTGAACGATCCTGATTGCAGATCCTTCATGGAGAAATGCTAAACCTCTGGCTATTCCAACACATATCTTATACCTTGTTGGCCAATCCAGCATCAGAGCACTTGTTTCGGAACCTGCTCCTAATAGGATTGTTGATAAGATCATTTCATGTTTGTTAGTTGATGTAGTGTTATCAAAAATATTTTTTTACTGGAAATTTATCAACTAATGCTACTATGGTTACCAAAAAGTGCACGAGAGAGGGAGTTGTTTTCCATGTACTCGTACACCAGAAGCAACTGGTCTCCTTCAATACAGCATCCATAAAGCCTTACAAGATTGGGATGCTGTAAACAAGATATCATGCCTATTTCGTTCACAAATTCACGGTTTCCTTGCCTGGATTTTGGAGATAGCTGCTTAACAGCAATAATAGTACCATCTGCTAATTCACCCTGCATTGGAAGTCAATCACGCATCTAAATGCTATAGTGTTTTTGGGGCGGATTCACCCATGCATGATTCCTATAATAAAATTGTGATAATATGAAAAATTCATTAGATGACAAACCTTGTATACGGATCCAAAACCACCCTCTCCAATCTTGTTTTCTGAATTGAAATTGTCAGTGGCCGCTTTTAGCTGCCTCAAGGTGAAGGAACCGGTTTTCAAATCCAGCCCTTTAAGCTCTGCACGTAACAGTTGGTATGGGATGATGACAGTCAGGAGACATATGGTGAAATAATAGAAATCCTTGAAAATCATATATCCATGCACTACGCGCATTCTTTAGTGTGATTCGCCATTATTTAGAAAATTAAGAGTAGACTCAGTGTGCGGAAATGACTGATTTTACAATACCTCGTTCTCTTGTGTATTTGTCTCCATAGCAGAGCTTCCAATAAAGGACACCCATTACCAAGAAAACAAGGAATACTGCTGAAGTGACAACTCCGATCACAATAGGTTTCTTTCTTGTTTCCTCAGGTTCTGATAGCAAATAAAATTGCAAACGCAAAGAAGGCTAAACATCCCGTCAAATGGATAATAAACATTAACGCTGTAAAGACACCGGACCGCTATAGCACAGTTCAATTCTCACCTTCACAATAAGTTCTGTTACCTGAAAAACCACAGATCATGGAAAGATTCTTAGATGGGATGATGATGTGAGTGGCAGAAGCTTACAGTTACAGTGACAACAAAAATCAGGCAAATCACTTATGTAGATTGGTTTATGAGACACATTAAATTTGTTTAATCTTGTTTCACATTCTCTCAGCTCTTTCCTACATTAGTTAGGGGAGGAAAAAAAAACCCAGAAAGCTCAGAAAATTGAAATAGAAATGAATTCAGTGGTGTCCTTCTATTGTATAAATTAAACTCCTTGAAGTCAGTAAGTTTCAAATGAGAGGCAGAAAAAGAACATGTAACATACCTGAACATACGGATATAGCAGAAATTATAGGACCATAATTTCCTCTTATTGGAATGGTAGTAGTGCCTTTTCCAGCCCAGTATAATCGGATCTCCAGGGTACGGTCTGTCACAGTGGTGGTGAATGCTCTCGTGAAATTTCTGTTAGATCCTTTGGCTTCCTCTGTAAAGTTAAAATCCTTTCGCACTTGTATTCCCTGGAACAAAGTTCCGTACTCAAAAGGGTTTCTTTGAAAAAAAAGAAAGAAAAAAGACATCCACACTCTCTTCGGAAGGAAAAGATAATTAATTACCTGAATGTAAATATCAAAAACACGCCTTGCAACTTTGTTGTACAGTTTTTCATCTGTGAATTGTATCTCAGCAAAGTGGAGTCTGACAGTGTAATTCCCATTTTCTAGACAATATCCATAATAAGTGACAGACAGGGGAGTTTTACGTGCTGTTGCATACAATCCAAAGTCAACTAGAGAAATATTAGAATTTGATTGAAGCGTATATTTGTTATCATAGAAATTTTCATCATCCATGAAATCTCCGGTGCTGCTGAATCCCCAGTTTGATCCTGATCTATTATAACTCCTTGCAGCAGCATTACTTCCACTATCTTGATCACCTTCATACAAGATTTTCCCATTCTTTACATCTTGTCCACCACAGTTTATATGAAATGAACGATAATCTGCAGCACATAAAACTAGTATACCATTAGACATGTTTAAATTTCCGTTTTGTCATACTTATAGAAGCATATCAATAGGGAATGAGTTTACTTTACTACAAAGCTTCAAAACTATGACTAGTCACTGGTCAACACTTCATCAAGTGGCTTGCCATTGTCAGATTAGTTCAACCCAATGAATTCCTTCTGTCAACTTTTGGTTTCTGACGGTGAAACCAGTGGTCAAGTTCTACTTCAAACCACGTTTTGATGTATAAATTTTCCAACAAAGTGACCATGAATTGACCTTATTAGTTTTTCGAGATAGAATCTAATTAAAAAGCTAACAATCATCAATGTCATTCAAACATTGAAGTACATTGATAAACTTTAATGGCACACTCGGATTTTATGAAGTGCACAAGTTCTTAATATGAAAATAAGAGAACATACATTTTGGGCACCGAGATATCCTTGAGCATGGAAGAAGATCGCTTCTGTATATCATGGAAATTATAGTATGTGAGAATAATAAATGGTTTTGTAGATTGAATTCTAAGAATCAGAAAAAGCCTCGGAATCAGAATCAAAACATGCTTAAAAAAATTGTATCACTCAAGGAAAGTATTCAAGATGTGTCTGCTCTTTGAAAAAATGATAAGCATTATACTTTGAGCATAAATTAATTTTGAATATCTATCTATTCTGCTTAGGTAGGATTTAAAGATGTATTATAGTTTATTATTTAGTTACAATATCAAAATATGTTTTGTCTGAATTCCACGTTCATCTGAAGTAATTGTATCTGTCTCTGCAACTCTGTACTCATGATAGCATATGCTGTTATCGCAAATAGGTACAAGATCTTCCTAGTAATTCTTTGACCCTGTTGGATTTTTTGAAATCACATACAGCAGAATCTCTATTGCTAAATTTCATCTCCAGAAATATAAATACGAAAAACATTGCAGTCCACAGAGTATAAAAGAAGAGCCTTACAATTTATTATTGCTGGACGAGCTTCGAAACCAATTTATATTATTCCTGATTTATAAACTCAAACCATTCAGTTTCAAAATCACCTAGAAGATCCCATTTCAAATATTTATGAACAATATCCTTACTCGTTACTGCTGCTGCATCTTGGTGACCGTGAAAAGTTATTGTACGAAACATCGCTGGAAAAGATCAAGTAAACCATAAATCTAAATACAAACTTCCACAAGGTTAACAAATAATGAGAATATATAAACTTCACGATGCAAGCGCTAGAAATGCACTAGCTTTCATATAATGGTTTTTCTTTTATTGATGGTGATGGCTTGGATGACTAAGATTTAATTGTTTTCAAGGAAAATGGTTTATTAATTTTTTTTAGAATTAATCTGCTGGAATTGATGGATTATTTAAGAGGTATCAATGATAATTTATCAATTTTAATGTTACGTTGAAAATTAAAAAAAAAAATTAATTTTTTTATAGAATGAAGGATAATTAAATTGTATTAATTTAAATTGAATAAATTAAAATAATCAGTGTACTCTATAGAAATCAGGTATAGAATATAAAATATGAGAGCAGGCTATAGTGTCGCTATCTTAAGCATCCTACGATCTGGCTCGAGCCAGCAAATCAATAGTCAATCAAGAGTTGGTTTAAGGCCATGTTTGTTTCCCGGAAAACAGTTTCCGGGAAACCACTTTCCAAACTTTCCTGTGTTTGTTTGTTATTAGGAAAGTTGGTCAACGGAAAACATTTTCCGGTCAACAAAAAACACTTTCCAGTCAACGGAAAACATTTTTCGGTCAACGAAAAACACTTTCCGATCAACGGAAAACACTTTCTGGTCAACGAAAATATTTTTTAGTCAAAAAAATTTTTACTTAATTTTCAAGAAAGTGTTTTCCTTTTTAGCTGTATTTGTTTTCTGAAAAGTGGTTTCCAGGAAAACACTTTCCAAACTTTCTTGTGTTTGTTTTGCAGAAAGTGATTTTTGGGAAATCACTTTTCAAACTTTCTTGTGTTTGTTTGCTGTTAGGAAAGTTGATGAATGGAAAACACTTTCCAGTCAAAGGAAAATTTGGCTTGATTTTCAGGAAAGTGTTTTCCTGAAAAATTTGGGAGGAAAACACTTTCCGGAAGTTGTGAAAAGTTTAGAAATGTCATTATTTGCTGATTATATCAAATTTGATCCTCAAACTTTTGATTGCTATATATATTTTGTTTTGAATATTTATTTTTCAATTTCATTTCTTAAAATTTAATTTTTATATTTACTTTGGTCCTCCAAAAGGAAACAACTTTCCTGCAAACAAACGGGGCCTAAGAAGACATTATTGTTGTGACGGCCAATCTAAGGACCCAAATAGAGGCGCAGTATAAAGAATGAAATAGGAAGCAATAGGAGAAGATGATGATGTACATCTCAACTCATTATCCTTCTTCTTAGAAGAGCATCTCTAAAGAAAGAAACTGCTTGGAAGAGCCAAATTGATAATGTAAGTATGATTTTTTTTATATATACACTTCAACAAAAAAAAAAATCATTTAGAAAAGCCAATTGTATTTTAATATATTTAAAATTGATACAACTATTTATTCACACACACACAATAACATTAGCCTTTAAATTATTTATGAAAATTTTCTTTTATAAATTTTTACTTCAAGAAATTTTTTGAATGGAAGATAGCTTATAATAATTTTATGAGGAAGATTTGAGAGAATCACACTCCAATTATGAAAGATTCAATCCAAAATTATTTTTTTATTCCAAATATTAAAATTTTATTTTTTATTTATTAACAAATAATTAATTTAATTTGTATCATATAGGTTGCATGATTTTTTATATGAGACATAAAAGAAAGCCAAAAATATATGAAAGAAGAGAGCTTTTATGTTAGAATGATGCGATAGTTTGAAAAGATTTTGGATCATCATACGTCTCAAAAGTTGTAATGACAAAATATATTTAGTATGTGATGTCCACACATTTCACTTGATGATAGGATTTTTTTTACATCCATTTTTTTATTAGTTGTTTTTATAAATATATTGAATTGACAAAAACTTTTATTGCATTCTATAATTTTTGTATGCGAGCCAAGCTTGATAAAACTTTTTGTTGAAATGCATGTGCGGAGTGATGATCATAAAAAAACGATGTAGCAGTTCGTTGATAGTCGAACTCAATATTTTGTGGTATGTTGGTGTTTAATTATTTTTTTCCTAAGTTATTATGTCCTTGAATTTGATGAATTCATTTTTTCCTTTATAGGATACATATAACAGCCGGTTTAAGGAGAGATATGGGGATGAGCTTTCGACCTATTTGGATATCGGTTCGGATTTATGGCTGTAGGGAGAACCATTTGGTGGACCTGATAGAAATCAAGTGTATGGACTCTTTAAAACTATGATTGAGAATTTATGAATGACCCGTAGAACTTCAACTGTTGGATGCTCACAATCAATTCTAAGTAATCAAAGTTTGGAGTTCGCAATGATGTTACAACAATAGGTACAAGATCGGACAATCTATCTTAATGATAAATATGATGACTCACTACTGGTTATAGAGAATTTTGTCAATTGGCAATGGAGATGAGATTATAGATGGGTGGTTCATGTCAAGGGTGAGCAAAAAAACCACAAATCGATTAAATTGAGAAGACTAGAAAACAAACAACCAAAAAAAGTAAACCCTGAAAAAAAAAATGATTACATCAATTATAATATTTTAAAAAAAATTTAGTTTGGTTTTGGTTTCATAAGCTTGAAATTAAAAAGCAGAATCAAACCAGTTTAATTAAGAAATAAATCAAACCAAACTAAACAGAAAAACCGAACTAAACTGAAAAAACTCATTAGTAAGTCCAAAAAAACCCTAAAAACAATATAATTTTCAATTTTTAATATCAAATAACTGAACTGAACCGAAACTGAATCAAATCAAATTGAATCAAAACCAGTCAATTGAGTTTTAGTTCTTAACTTAAAATAACCAAACTGAACCCAAACTGGTTTTTGTTTGATTTTTGTTTTTTTTTTCTCTTTTACAAATTTTAGTTTGATTGTTTTTATAAGTAGAAACCGAACCAAACTGAAAATGATCACTCCTAGTTCATGTGCACCCCTTAATTGCCCCTATGTTCCTAGTGACAACCTATCTCTTCCTCCTCATCCATTGTTGTCTTTATTTTAAATTTATTGCATTTGATTGTAAAAAAATAAAATAAAATTGATATACTTTATCCGTCTATAAATTCATCGATATATTTATTACCGACAGATTCACCGACAATAGTTTTTTCAATAGATCATTTCTATTTGTGAGTCTTTCGGTAACATATATATTGATGGATTGCTAGTGTAAACACCAACAAAATTTATCGATAAAACTACTAAATGCGGTAGTGTTCCATGTTAAAAAATATAATTTATCTACAATTCATGGTTCTCTGTCTCTCTACTCATTAACCTCCTTATGCGCATGAAATATAAGCATATCATGAAGAATTATTTAGGGGATATTTAAGAATATGATAATGTTTGTAATTTAAAGTAATTTTCGCTTGGAAATACATCAAAGTAATATTATTTTTATTTAAAAATTATTTTTATATCAACACATGAAAACAATCTAAAAAAAATAAAATTAGAAAACACAGTTTCTATTGCGTTACTAAACACTGGCATACTTTGAATGGATTGGAAAAACCCAGGTCAAAGATAACAGGAAAGGGGGAAACTGGGAATGAACTTGTTCATGATGCATAAGAGATAAGCATGAGGAAATTGAATGCAGTGCTGTCAGCGGTGAAACTGCAGTGCAGAGAAGACGACAAAAGTAAGCGGTTTTTTAAATCAAAATTAATTACTTGCAGCTTCCCTCTCAGGTTATATTATTGTGTTTCAGCGCAGAGAGGTCAAATCTCATATTTGTATATTCAGTTAAGGTCATGCAGTTCATAAACTTACAGGCATTAGTCATGGGTCTTCAAGGAAAAAAGGCAAAGCATATCAATATTCAAATAAGTACTGAATCCAATGATGGGTGTAATTTAGGAACATACAGATTTTGGCTGTTTTGGAGGAATGAGTCCTGCACTGTTCCAGTCAGCTTGTTGCCACTCAAAAACCTGGTAAGAACCACACTCATACTTTCAGCATAATTTATTGTGCCATCCTTGATAAGATTTCAATAACCAAATTTCAAATTATCAGACTTTAGCATTGCTCACGTAAACTGTCGTCGTCGTATTGTATTAGGAGGAATCTCCCCAACCAACTTGTTAAAAGTTAAGTCGCTGCAAGAAATTACAGCAAACAAAGTTTTAGGCTTCAGTCTCTGAAGAAGATTTTACATCTTTGTAAATATATTGGCAATAAACAGGTGAATATATATATATATATATATATATATATATATATATGTCTCATAATTAAAGGTTATTAAATTCTTTGAAGTAATCCTCTATTTATATTCTTCCTTGGAGAGTTGCAGTTGCTTGAAATCACTACCTTCTCATAGGAGCTCATCAGTTGTGAAAGTAAGTCAATGTTATGTTAGAAGCTAGTTGTGATTCTTCTACTCACTCTAGTAGGACTTTAGTTATTATATACCCAGGATTATATATTAATGTAGGATCTTTAACTTATACTAACAACCTGATGATTCAGGCAGATCCCACGCACCAGCTGTACATGGAGATCATATTGGAAAAATGTGGCAGAATTGAAATGTATAAAAAGAAATTCTAATTTGCTTAGCAGCAGATGTAAGGCGATGAGTGAAGTTCACACTCACAGTGTTTTTTCCACTTTCCATGCGTTTTCTGGGATTGTTCCAGTTAAATTGATGTTCCTCAGAACCCTTGCAACAAGTTACAGGTTGGTTAAACAGTTCTGAACAGAACATATCCTCAACTTTACTATGAAGAGTTATGAAGCAGTTCACATACAAGAATTGCCTTTCAATCGGCGAGTTAGGTAACTGAAACTCTGGTCCAGGCATATCAGCAATCCTCCTGCATAACAGTAAGAGAACTTGAATAAAAGTTAAATGTTCAATTCCCTTCATTTATCTCTCCCTATCTCACACACTAAGAGAATTCTTCAATAATTAATACAGCAGGAGGTAAGCAGCACAAGAAAGTGGTTTTACTCACAAATCAGACAACTTTTCCAAATGAAAAATCGCAAGAGGTATAGGTCCTTGCAATCCAGTCGCGTACAACTCACTTCATTAGTCACGAAAGGAACAAAAAATCTCAATAAAATGTATCATGTTGCATTAGAATGAATTAAGATCTTGTGAAGATGAACATCTCACAGCTTTTGAAGTTGAGTCCAGTTCCCAATGAACTCGGGTACGGTACCATTAAGATTATTATCATTTACGCGACTGCACATTGAAAATGTTAAATTATCAAAAAAAGAAAAAAAAACGTGTTCAAGGAAAATAAGTGAGGGCTTACAAATCCTTCAAGTCTTTTATCTGCGCAAGTGCCTCTGGCAAGGTCCCCACTAACTTATTGCTAGAGAGTATCCTGCAATTGTTAATTCACGGCATCAAAGCAAAGATTTCAACTAATGAAAACGAAATCTCTGGCAAGTCTTCACAATGAAGAATTTTGTTAAAATTGCTTACAGAGTTCTTAAGTTGACAAGCTTGCCAAGCTCAGGTGGGACAACACCAGAAAACTGATTTGATTCAAGGCTCCTATATATATTTTATAATTGCATTTGATAAAGTGAAATGACCATTAGAGAACAAAGTAAACTAGCATTGCTTGCAATATTCGAATAACTCAAACTAGAGGTAGAGCACTATAACAGATTCAAGCCATACAAGTAGGTGAGGGCGGTAAAACTTCCCAAATGTCCAGGAATATTTCCTGACAAGCGATTTGCAGTAAGCGAGCTGCATAAGAGGTTAGTTAGGAAGTTTTAAGCTCACTCTTACATAGAAAATAAGATAAACCAAGAAGAGGGGTGAATTTATAAATGAGCTTACATGGAAGACAGATTTTTCATCGAAGCCCATTCCACCGGGATTGTGCCGTATAGATAGTTGCGAGTGAAATCTCTGTCATAGACAATGTTGTTGTATAAAAATTATTTTCCATCTTCAAAATTGCTCCAAAAATTAATATAAACGCTTGAAATTTTAATATAAACTGTGACAGACAATGACAAACTCATAATCACATAACATCTGATGAGTATTAATTATCATCGAGGCATCTCAAGATTCATAATCATTTAATGGATTCAGAATTGAGACCTCGAAGCAGAAACAGGAGCCAAATATATATGTCCTTAATTAAGGGTTCTTACATTTTTTGGACATAAGTAAGGTTGGCCAATTCCGGAGGAAGCCTGCCTGGAAGACTGTAATCTTTGAGCTGGCTTTATTGCAAGCAGGAGAGAGAGACATCATTGGTCACAGTTTAGGAAAGCTAAGAAATATATATATATAAAACAAAGAAAAACATAAAAATGTAAAGTAATTAAGAGGCTTACAATGAAGTAATGTGACAGTAATTATCATCAGTGATGCTGCAGTTACATTCGATGGTGCTGTTCCCTTCTAAGTTTGGTGGAGCAGAAGTCAGTTCTGTCTTAACGAGTCCATTCGGTTGACAACTATCGACGAACTTCAAGGGTAGCTGGCCATCCTCGTTTACTGTCTTACCGATTTGTCTTAACGCTTCAACTAGGTTTTTTTTTTTAAAAAAAAAATAATAATTGATGAGGAATGTGCACCATTCAAAACATTCTCAATAGTTTGTAGATTAATAATAATAATAATAATAAATAGATTATTATTTCAAAAAATAAATAATTTGGGCTTCTCTAACACTAAAAAGCCTATTTATTGTATAGCTAGAAAGAGTTACAAAAATTAGATATGTCTAATCCCAACAAGGGCCCAAATATTGTCAACGTAGTTATCCAAATTCAAACAAAGATGATACTAGGAAGAAATGACTAGTTTTCACCCTCTCTTTTTTCTTTTTTTCTTTTTTTTTTTAAATGTTGTTGTCGTTCCGTCTACTAAAGTCTCAAAATAATAATAAGAAGAAAAACAAATTACAAAAAAGAAGAAGTAACAAAGAAAACCTATATTTTAAGGATTGTATTTTATCTTTGATACATGTATGTTTTTTTAATTTACTATATATATTTTCCTAAATATTATATTTTGAAGAATCTAAATTATCAAACTAATTTAGATAATTCTAATTGAATTATATTTCTCTTCACTCTGAAAAAAATCTTTCGATATTTCTAACTGAATCCTTCCGTTCCTAATTTCCGATTAAAGGTTACAAGTGAGGAGCAAATCTGTTGATGTTCTGATCAGATGAGTTGAACAATTTGAAAGACCTCACTGATCTGATCTCAATATGCATTACTGTGAAAACAAAGAACAGTGCTTGGGCAATTGATTAAGTAGCTAGCAAGGTTGTTCTTACCTTCTCCTGGATGTAGCTGATCAGAAGCAAGCAAAGTAATAGAGCTCGAGAAACTGATCATCACCATAACTTGGCAAAGCTGAAGCATCATTAACATCTTGTGCTGAAAATTGGCTGCAAAAGGTCGAATACGTTTCTATTTGTCGACATGAGACGGGCAGGGAAAAACTCAGATATTTTGAAACATGCTAAGAACATGCGAACAATTTTCTGCTCTTCTTCTTTCTTTTTCTTTCTGCAAATACTGATTGAGGTAGACGGAGACCAATCTCTTTTCCACCTGGTGCTCAAGGACAACACGCTATTTGGAGCTGATGATAGACTCAATTATATAGCTAGTGCATGATTGACAGTCTCGTACTTGCAATTATTTTTATGTTTGAAGAATGGTTTTAGAAAAAAATTAAAATTTTATTTATTTATTTATTTATTTTCAATTAATATTTTTTAAATTTTTTATATTATTTTAATATATTTATATCAAAAATATTTTTTAAAATAAAAAATATTATTTTATTATTATTTTAATATTTTTTTTAAAAAAAAACACCAATTATATATCTTATAAAGCCGCCCTCAATTTTAATGCTTTTGTTAGCCATCATTTGCTTTGAATATTGAGTTTTTTTCCTGCACCGTCACCAAATTTATTTCTCAAACGATCACTCTCGGTATATCACAAAAATACTCTTGTGCATTTGTTATAAAAAATAATAATTAATAATTGTAATTGTCTACGTACCTACCTGTGGGTTATGCAAATATTATAAAACATAGTCTCGTTATTTTTCAGAAAATACTTTGTGAATGTAAACTTTTTATCAGATGAACACACTCTGGTAATTTTTTTTTATTACCTATCCAATTGGATAGTGGTGGAGCTATAATTTTTTGAAATAAGAAAACAAGTTACTAATAAATATTTGATATTATATGTTATATAACTATGTATTATATAAAGAAATTAATTAAATAAATATATATATATATCAATTTAAGAATACTTTTAAAATAAAAAAACTTATATTATAATTGTTATTTTCAAGATTTTATATTTTAAAACTGTTTCATGATGATTTTATTTTTAATCTTATTAAAAATATCTTTCTCAATATATACAATAAATTTTTATTTATCTATTTATAAATCTTCCAAGAACTAGAAAAGTTTTTGACAACAATTCTATGCTGACATATAATATATAATATTTAAAATCATTGCTTAAAAAGAATGTTACAAATTAATGTTATTCTTGCTAATTTATTATTTTGTACAAGTAAATAAATATAAATATTAAATATTTTTTATTTATTTATTATGTTCTTAATTTTTTAAGTTATCCTGTACTTTATTTTTAATCACTAGTAAATTCATCATTATTATTTTTAATATGAAATTCATAACAAAATACTTTTTAATTCATCAAAACTCATTTCAATTCATATTCATTAGCATATAATATTACTCATAAATATATTAATTCAACAAGCCTATGAATTACTATAAACCCCAACATTCTTAATAATTAATTATAAAGAAATAAAATTAAAATTAAATAATAAAACAAACAAAAAAAATAAAGGAAACTTTCCTAAAACATAAAGCAAACTAATTAATAGATTAGTATTTGAAAATAAATTTTATAAAAAAGAGAGTTAGAGGTATAAATAATAAAAAAAAGCTTCAATTAATTAAATTAATTAATAGCTGATAATAAAAATTACCTTCAAAAGCTATTATATTAATATTTTAATATAAATCAATACTTAAAAAAATAAGGGGGCAAATGCGCCTCTTGCTCTATCATGGCTCGGTCACTGTATCCAATGGTCTTTTCTATTAATTTTATTTTTCCAAATTGTTAATAAAGTGTAATTTTTCCAATTTCAATTAATGTCGATTTCGCACCCCACATTACGAATGAAGTTTAGAATGTAAAAATTGATAGGAAATCACCATTTGTGGAGAAGATGAGTTTACAGTGAGGGTTAATGGCTGGCTACGGGAGGTTTTGGTGAGAGGAAGTGGATGAGGCAAGATGATGGTGCCGGTGGAGAGGGCTGTGTTTGTGAGGAAGGGCTAATTCGGCAAGAAAGGGGCTGAAATTTTTGGGCATGAATATTCGGGTTAAATGTTGGACATAATTTATGCGTTGTGTCTTGTGTATTTCTTTCTGGCCCCCAAGCTTTATACTCAGGTCTATATTTATAATTCAAGTGTCCATAGTCATATGAAATTCAAAAATCTCATACAAAAACTTTAAATTTAAATTTTATTAAAAATATTCATAATATCCATCCCCATAAATCGGAAGTATTAATCATTGGCCAGGAAAAGTGTCTGCGGCTCTGAATTCTCACAACCACGGAGATAGATTCCATAGACCGTTTACATTATATAGAATTATAAATCCATAAGCATACCAAGATGGATGGTAAGCAACAAGACGTTGTGTAGACGTCTAAATATTGATCCTCAGTATCATCATTATATGATTACAAACGAAGCTCCAAGCATGTCTTTGGCTTTATTCAATTAAAGACGAGGTTTCACTGATGTTTAAATTTATGGACTCGGGATTGATGGGGTAAAGATCATGGGCAGATGTAGAGGAATTTCCAATCCATGATTTATCAGATGGAGGAAAGAGGTCTTGTGTGCTGTTTAAACTCTGGTCCATGACCTGCTGATAGTGGCCTTCGAGACGTTTGGAGTGTAAATCATCACCATAAATGCTAGGATCTGAGATCATCTCCTGGATGGTGGTCTGTCCTTCAAGCATGCTCACCACTTCTGACATTGCAGGCCTTAGAGATGGAGATGCATTGGTGCATAAGAGAGCCAATTTGATCATCCTCTCAGCCTCTTCCTTGTTGAATTCAGACTGCAGCTTTGGGTCCACTATCTCCATTAAATTTCTCTTTTTTTGCAGTCCATGGGCCTGTGAAAGCGAAAGGTAAAGTATTTGCAGAGAGGAGTAGTGCCTAATCCATCATGGATTCAAGATAGCAACAAGTACATTCTCGTAACTTACCCAGTCAAGAAGACATACGAATTCATTTGTTGTCCTGTAACTCGAATTACTTCTTCCACTGACAATTTCTAAAGCAACAACTCCAAAACTATAAACATCTGCTTTGTCTGTTAAATAACCCCACAGCGCATATTCTGGAGCCATATATCCTCTGAAATCAGAACCATGCCAGATTAGTGACTCTAACGGAGTATATTGCGATCACTGAATAAAGGAAGCTGCGAATTAAGTCTGATTAAAACTTACATGGTTCCAGCAACACGAGTGCTAATGTGAGTGTTCTCCTCTTCATTGAGCTTAGCTAGTCCAAAGTCTGATATCTTGGCACTTAGATCTTTGTCCAGTAATACATTTGTACCTTTGATGTCTCTGTGAACAATCCTGATTGCAGATTCTTCATGGAGAAATGCTAAACCTCTGGCTATTCCAACACATATCTTATATCTTGTTGGCCAATCCAGCATCAGAAAACTTGTTTCTGAACCTGTAGCTAATCCAGTAAAGGAGGTTCACTAAACAAAATGACTTCAACTTCGGTAGTCGATGCTATTATTGAAACAAAAAAAAAAGATTTTACTGGAAAGTAATCAGATGCCATTATGGTTACCAAAAAGTGCTTTGGCGAGGGAGTTGTTTTCCATGTATTCGTACACCAGAAGCAACTGATCTCCTTCAATACAGCATCCATAAAGCTTTACAAGATTGGGATGCTGTAAACCAGATATCATGCCTATTTCATTCACAAATTCTCGGTTTCCTTGCCTGGATTTAGGAGATAGCTGCTTAACAGCAATGAGAGTTCCATCTGACAATTTACCCTGCATTGAATTTATCGTAGACATTTTGCATGATCAAACAAAGGGTCCAATGATCAACTGGGATAATATGCAAGAGAATATTAGAGTGACAGACCTTGTACACGGAGCCAAATCCACCTTCTCCAATTTTTTCAGCAGAATCAAAATTGTTAGTGGCAGCTCTCAGCTGCCTCAAAGTGAAGGAACCAGTTTTCAGATCTAGCCCCTTGAGATCTGCACATAATTGTTGGTGACACAAGGGAAATGCTTCAACATCATCAATGCGCGGATGTGTTATATTCTAGATGTTTGCGCGTGTAATAGCTTCTAATTAACTAGTTAAGGAAAAGGCTTTAGCACGCAGATGATTGATTTCAATGTACCTCGTTCTCTCATGAACTTGTCTCTAAAATAGAATTTCCAACAAATGACACCCATTACCAAGAAAACAAGGAGTAAGGCTGAAGTGACAACTCCAACCACGATAGGTATTTTACTTGCTTCTCCAGGTTCTGAAATTAAACAAAGTAACACGTACAAACACAGAAAGCCAATGGGACAATAAATCACTGTAGGGCAGCAGTTTACTTCTCACCTGGACAATATGTTGTCTGGCCTGAAAACAACAAACCATAAAGTGCTTCTTAGATGGTATAATGAACTGAGTAGAAGCTTACATACAGTTATGATGAAAATCAAAGCCAGGTTCATAAGGAAGAATTTGTTTGTTAATTATGTAATCGGTGGGGGAAATGACCAAGTCTAAGTATAAGGGGTGATAAGATTCGAACTCATTCGTACTTGATCAACAAAGCTATGATATCATTGCAACAAAGCTATGATATCATTGCAACAAAGCTATGTTAACTTAATTGATAAAGGTCATTGTATATGAATGAAATCGCAAAGTTAGTGACTTTCAAATGAAATGCTGGGAATATATATATATATAAAACATGCCTGAGCATACAGTTATTGCAGAAATAAGAGGACCGTAATTTCCTCTTTTTGGAATACAAGTAGTCCCTTTTCCATTCCAGTATAAACGGATCTCCAAGGTAGTGTCTGTCACAATGGCATTGAATACTCTAGAAGTTTTGTAAGATCCATTAGCAGCCTCCTCAATATTAAAATCTTCTTCCTCTAGTTTCCCCTGGAAAACAAATCCCAAGTTAAAAGGATTTTTTTGAAAGAAAAAAAAATCTTTTTGGATAATTTAATCCCAGTTACCTGAATATAAATGTCAAAAAAGCGTTTTCCAACTCTTTTGTGCAATTCGTCACCTGTGAATTGTATCTCAGCAAAGTCGAGTTTAACAGTGTACGTCCCATTTTCTAGACAATATCCATAATAAGTGAGAGAGATGGCAGCTCTGCGTGCTGTAGAAAACAACGGTTCAGTCGAGTAGTTTGAACGAAGTATAAATCCGGGGCTTTTAGCTTCATCATCCATAAAATCTCCAGTGTTGCTGAATCCCCAGTTTGATTTTTTATTGGAATAAATCGTAGCAGCATCACCTTTAATGCTTTCGTCACCTTCATACAAGATACTCCCACTGGTTTCATCCGGTCCACCACAGTTTACATGGAATGAACGATAACCTGCAATACGTCAAATTAGTACACCATTAGAATAGTTGCAAATATACTTCTCATATCGTAGGGGCGTGTAATTGTTTAGATTTTTGGATCCCTTTGCTCTACAACTAGAGCTATTACTCTACTATATAGCTTCAAATCGATTAGTCATTGGCTAATTAATACGTTTCCAAGTGGCTTGTCACAATCATTGTTCAACTCCAATCGATGGAGGTTGTTCTATCAACCTTTGGTTTCCGATTAGTGATATTGATGGTGAAAATGTGAGGCGCTCAAGTTCTGCTTGAGGCCATGTTTTGGTTACAGATAAATCCTTACTTGTCCAACGAAACTGAGAATGAATACATCCTTAATAAATCTGTGTGCAGAATAGAATGTAGAATTAAGGCAAAAAAATCTACATTGAAATTAGTACTCGTGCTCAAATAAATACACAGACACTGATATTATAGTAGATTACTGATTTCGGTATGTTGATAAATTTGAAACTGATGTGCTTTGATTTTAAAGGACTTCGTTACTTCTCATTTAAGGAGGGAAAAGAATATCATACTTTTGGGGCACTCAAGCATGTCTGAGCATGGAAGAAGTCCCCTTCTGTAAGACATGGAAATTGTAGTAAGAATTTCAAATGGTTCTGCAAACTGCAATATAAGAATCAGATATCGAAACCATGCCTCAAGAATTAGCATTATTTCATCCCCAAAAAAAATATCATATTATTCGAGTAAAATATTCATTTTATGTTTGCTCGTTGAGAAAATCGGTGCATTGCTGTCCTCTTCATGAGTGTCTTATATCTTGGGGTAAATGAATAATAAAGCATGTCACATTCTTATGTTCTTCATTCATTCATTCATTCAGCATTAATCAACAACGTATATAATTGATGATTTCTATTGGTATTTTTGCAAGCACTTTACATAACATGATCTAAATTAAAACGTTCAAAAGCACAAGTTAGCATATATAAAATTTGCATAACTGATTTGAAATAGTAAAAATATTTTGAGCATAAAAGCTACAAGGACATGGCCTGGTATATCTGATCCTAGGATACCAAGTTTGGGCTGAGAAAGAAAATCTGGATAGGATTTAAAGATACAAATATAAATTGCAGATTTAACTCCAAAGATATTCAGTTAAAATCCTGCTTAGCATCTGATATGTAATGTATTTTTCCCCCCTGAAAACTATATATGAACATGATATGGTTTATATGATTAGCAGCATATTCTGTTAACGCAGGTTCCACCATTGCAAAGATCTTTTAGTCTACGGGAGTGAGTTTTTAGAAGGGATATTTACCTGCCTGTCTGCATTTAAGAAATGAGAAATCCCTTTAAAATATCCCAAAAGGGAATTTTGAAATTTTATCCTGTAAGAGCTCCATTTCCAAATTAAGGTTATCCATAGGGACCTCGTTTCATCCTAGATTTGTGCTAAGCATATATGAGTTTTATATGTACATACATATATACACCTCTCTTACGTTGTATCTTCTTAATTTTTCCTTGGTATCATGACAACTACCAGATTGGATCTTCAACAACTTGAAATACCAAAAATATCGCTCTCCAGAGTGTATATGAGGAGCCTTACAAGTTATTCTTGATGAATGAACTCCTGTACGTGTTTATATCCCTGGTTTATAGATTCAAATCATTAAGTTTCGCATTAACCAGGAGTATCCCAAATTTAAGAAAATAGATATCCTTACTGGGCATCTTGACAGCTTGGCAGCCGTGAAAAGTTATTGTAGGAAAGATCACTGCAAGAAGCCAAGGGAATCATAAATATGAATATGAACCTCAACAAAATTAATAATAAGTAGTGGAACAAATGAAATGCTAAGCAAGATTAAAAAAAAAACCCACATATTTCCAGAAACTAGGCTTTCGTTGAGGCCCTATATATGACATGAAAATATATGTAGCCTTAGATTATCAAGATTCACTCAGAAGACCACTTTATAAATATTAATGGTTGATCAATCGTCAGCAGTTATATCTTCACAAGAGAGCAGAGAAGTTGAACAGAATATCTAAACTGAAATAACTGAAACCTGTGATACATTTCAGAAACATACATTTTGTTGCCTGAGTTGATAAATGAGTTTGGGACACTTCCAGTCAGCTCGTTTCCACTTAAAAACCTGGTTTTCAAAAGCCAGATTGATTCTTTCAGCATAATTTACTCCTCCGTCCGTGGTCAGATTTCAAATATTCAAATTTAAATACTTACATAAAATCATATGATTTTGCATCTCCAGGAATTCCTCCTTCCAACTTGTTGAAAGTTAAATCCCTGCAAAAGATTACATTAAAAGATTTTCCAACTTTAGTTTTCGGAATATTCCTTGCACCTTTTTGCAAGTAGTTTTGCAATAGACAAGCTGGAGCTTCTGCGAAATGCAAATACCTTCATTATTTTTACTTATGTTTCATTTGGTTCATGGTTAAACACAAACCATGTTAAATGTCAAGGATGCAAAAGTGTTTAGAATGTGTGGAAGCAAGTTTAGAAATAAGGTTCTAAATGTTGAAGGTAAATTGATTTCTATAAATTAGTTCAATCGATCGACTGGTTGATAACAGGTTAATTAATTGAGACAAAGCGACTGGTTGGATTAAGAATATGTTGACTGGTTTAGTCGTTATAATACAATTCTTGTTTATGTTAGGATTTCCTTGTATCAGTTTAATTTCTTAATTATCTATGACTTTATATTTATAGAAAGGCTTATAATTCAACATTACTATAAATACAAAAGGAGAGAAAATAGTTAAGGGGCTTCAAGAGAAACATTTAACAAAAGTATTCAATTCTCTCAATCTTCTTCTTGTTCTTGAGTTTTTGACCTTACATTATTGTGTTGATCTTATACCACACTTGTTTTACTTCCATCAAGTGGTATTAAAGCTTATGTTTGATTATTTGACATGCTCAATCCAAACTTTTCACTTCAATATCATAGGGTGACAAAGGGAAACCATGAAATTTAGTGTATTTGAGTATGAGCTTAGCTAAGTTTCCAAAGATATATGGGAGATGTTTGAAAAAAACTTTGAGAAGCCTATAGATGGAGCAATATAGGCTTCAGCTCAAAAGGAGGTCATGCAAAAAGCATGAAAGAAGAATCAATAAGCACTCATAATCATCTATCAATATCTAGATGATGCCACTTTTGAGATAGTGGCTAATGCAATCGCCGCCAAACATGCATAAATTTTTTTGGAAGAATCAAATCAAGAAGTTAACAATATGAGAAAGGTATGTTTACAAAAGCTATATGATGACTTTGAAAAGTTACATATGATTGAATTAGAGAATACTTAAGAATACTTTGCAAGAATATTAGTCATATACAATCAAATGAGGAGATATGGAAAGAAGATGGAGAGAAGATGGAAGAGACACGTATGGTAGAGAAGATTATACGCTCGCTACCAAAAAGTTCCATTATATGGTTATCGCGATAGAGGAATCACAAAATATGAATGTTCTCTCAATATAAAGTCTTATGAGAAAATTACAAGTCCATAAGGAAAGAGTCAATGAGATTCAAAAGGATGTGGCGCATAAGCACTTATTTCAAAGAAATAGGAGTAAGAGGCAAATTTAAAAAAGAAGGCCAAGACAACCTTAACATATCAATTAGTCGACTGCATAAAACAAACTAGTCAATCGGTTACACCGAAAATGACAATTCAAGATCCAGGTTTGACAAATCAAAAGTTAAATGTTGTAATTGTAAAAAAAAAAAAGTCATTATGCTAGGGATTGCTAGATTCTAATCAAGAGAGTTGAGGAGAATGAAAATCTTATAATATAAAAAGAGAAAGACGCTATCCTAGTATAAGTGCATAATAAGAGAATGCAAGATAAAGAGAATTGGTGATACCTAGAAAATTAAGCTAGCAACCATATGTGTAGAGATAAAGACAAGTTCATAGAGCTTGATAAAACAATTAGAGGCAATGTCACCTTTGCATATCATTCAAAAGTTGTCATCAAAGAAAAATAAATGATTTCGATTAAATTAAAAGATGGAATTCATTAATGTATTGGTGATATCTATTATATATTAACGGTGAAAAGCAACATATTGAGCTAAGGACAATTAGTGGAGAAGGGATATGAGATTAAGATGAAAGATCATACTTTAATATTACTAGACACTAAAAGAGTTATGATTGTAAAGGTAATCATGACAAAGAATATAATATTGTTGTTAAATTTTATAACCTATTTTTGAATTATTTTCCAAGTTCACTTTTTTTTCTTCCAAAACAAAAATAAAAAAAATAAAATGATGACAAGTGATGTAGAGAAAGAAGGTTGAGGAGGATCTCAAACATATAGAAAAATGAAGGTGTTTTTTTGGAAGAAATTCGAAACTTAATTGTACCTCATTATACCCAAGACTAAGAAAATAATATAGATTTAAGGTCAAATTAAATGATTATTGGACAAATCTGCATAGAAATTGTTAGAGAATAATAATATTAATTATATCTTGGGACCTCATCTAAAAGTTTAAGCTATTGGGTTGAAATAGTTCTTTAACATGATATTAGAGTCTTGATGACCAAGTGATCATGAGTTCGAATCCCACCATCCTCATTTATTTAATAAAAATCAAATACAAGATAATATAGGTCTCTACAAGTTTTAAGCTCAAAAGACTTTTACTTGAGGGTATATATTAAAAAATAATAATATTAATTATATCTTAGGATCTCACCTAAAAGTTCAATTTATTGGGTTGAGATGTTTCTTTAATAGAAATGAAGTTCATAGGTATAATTAAATTTTTAATAGGTTAATTTGATTTAATTATAGGGAAAATTAAAGTTTAATTATGTTTGAGAATTAATTTAAGTTGAATTGAAGGATTTAATCAAGTGCAAATGTAATAATACTTTAAACGAATTAAATTAATTTTATTAGGGGTTTAACCAGTGAAAAATTAGTTTGAAAGCTCAATTTAGGTTTATTTGAGAAAATTAAAATTTTAAAAAATTTAATTTAATTTTTATGAAGTCAGTTAGTTGAAATCAAAAGTAAAATTACAAGAAAAATAAATTTTTATAATCAATTGAAAACTAAATTAAAAAAATTCATGACAATGATGATTTTGCCGCGTTATTAAAATATTTTCATGTTTTTAACTTCTATCACATTACAGCACATGTAAGGTGATGAGTGAAGGTGTTACGACTTACAGCGTTTTCAGAGAATCCGATGTCCACACATCTGTTGGGATCACACCAGTTAAACTGATGTTTCGCAAAACCCTTCAAAGAAATTAAAGATAGGCTTAATTAGTTCTCAGTAGAACATGTTCTCAAGTTTATTTTAGACATTTTACGGACAGTTGACGAACAATTTCTTCACTCTGGGGGGGATGTTGGGTAAATTAGACTCTGGTCCAGACATATCAGTGATCCTCCTGTACATTGAAAACAAAAGAATGTTATAGTTCGCTTTATTCTCTGTCTTCTTCAAAGAGGAAACACCAAAATTATTGTATTTATTGCTGTGCCTCTCAGGAAGTAGTTTGACTCACAAATCTGTCAGCTTCTTTAAAGAAAGAATGGCAGTAGGTATGCGCCCTTGTAGTCCACTTGCGTATAATTCACTTCGTTAGTCCAAAGAGGAAAAATAAAATATCAGAATATTGTGCAACATGTAGCGAAGAAATGAAACGAAAATCTTATGCTGATAAAGATCCTCACAGTCTATTAAGATTAGTCCAGTTCCCAATGAAATCAGGTATTCTGCCACTAAGATTATTATCACTTGCACGACTGCACATTGCAAAACCGAATTAAGGAAACCAGATGCTATTGAACTATCAAAAACTGTGTTTAAAGAAGAAAGGAATTGATTGCTTACAAATTAGTCAAGTTTAGCTTAGCGAGAGTTTTTGGCAAGGTTCCCTCCAACTGATTGGAGGAAAGTATCCTGCAACCATTAATTCAAACCACAGCATCAAAGATTGCAACTAAAATGCCTAGCTTGCGTTGGTTTAATAACGATGAGCAGGTAAATGGCTTACAGGTCTGTTAAGTTGACAAGATCACCAAGCTGATAAGGAATAGTACCAGAAAACTGATTTGCTTCAAGGGACCTTCATGTATTTGTATTTGATTAATTGACAAAAATAAATTTAGTGAACCAAGTAAGCTAGCATTGTCAAAAACAGAAACAGAAAACAAAATAAATGATAAATCAGCTGAACAAATATTTATGACTTCAATACATACAAGTAAGTCAGGCTACGAAAACTTCCCAAGTACCAAGGAATATTTCCTGACAAGTGATTGGATGTAAGTGAGCTGCATGCATAAAATGTTATCTAGTTATGGTGAATTCTGACTTGAGTATGAGCTGGTAAGCAAAGATGAGGTGAATGAACTTACAGGTATGTCAAATGTTTCATTGAAGCCCATTCCTCAGGAATATTGCCAGAAATGTAGTTGCGAGTTAGGTCACTGTAACAGATAATATAGAATCAATACTTGAGAATTTAACTTGTTATGTTAAAAAATCATTTTAATTCAATATGTTAAGTTGTTAGGTGAGCTTTCAATATATGATGTATATTATTATTTATCATATTTTTTTAAATAAAAACCTTTTAAACTTCAAACTTTATTACCTTGCACTTGATTTTATTTAAATAAATAGGTATTATAAGATTCAAACTCATGACTATTTAGTCATCAAAATTTTGATATCATATTAAAAAATCATCTCAACTCAATAATTTAAATTGTTAAATGATATTATATGATATGATTTATATTATATATTATGTTTAACTTTATGAAACGTCAATTAGACGTACATCTCTTTGGAGTATAAACCATTCTTGTTGAAAATAAAGTTTCTTTTACAACATAATTTGAATTAGACGATACTTTAGTTTCTGTTAAGGTTGTGTCTATGATGTAAATTGTGCATGTTAGATTTTGACTGCACATATTATTATTGAATATTTTGTAGTTGCATACCTTTTAAGAAGTTGAAGTATGCAGATTAGTGAATGCTCATGCAGAAAAATATTCTCAAGATGTTCACCCTTAGCAATTATACTAACAAGTATAATTTTTTATTTAATTATTAAATCAAGTTAAAATTTTATTAATAGATTTTTACAAGATTAAACCTAAATATTATTGTTCAAAATTTATTATATTTTTTTAGTTAAATTATAATTTATTAACCTATTTAATGTATAACTCTTTAATTATTTTTCTTGGTAGCCAAATAGCCTTAAAGAGTTGCAATATTGAGTTTTTTTATTATTAAGATTATATCTTTAATCACATCAATAGTGATCATATCTTTAAAAATTTTTTTTTTTTTTAATTCTTATTTATTAGGTTTAGTTGCGTCAAATATGCTTCTTTTTATTATTATTAATAAGATATTTCCATTCCAAAACCTATAAATTAGTCGATAAAAGTTACTTTGAGATTCTACAATCAATACACATAGAAACACAAATAAAATATATCCTAAAAAGATTCTTACAGATATTTGAGATATGTAAGGTTGACCGTTTCAAATGGGAGCTTGCCTTGAAGACTGAGCGTTTTGAGAGATCTGTTATTGAAAAAAACATCATGAGTACATAAACAAATGTTTAGGTGATTAAAAAATAAACTAAAAAATTTACTTGTGCTAATTTACATCCAATTAATTTAAACATAGGAGCAATGTATCCAATTTATTTAAAAATGGGTTAACAACAAGTATACTACAACAAAACATTTTAACAACAAGTATTCAAATAAATATAGAAGACCAAAAAAATCTTACAATGACGTGATATGACAATAACTATCATTATTGAGGTTGAGGGTGCAATTGCATAGGGTGGTGCTATTGGCTTCTGAATCTTGGATGCAAGCATCGCCCAACTCCAAGGGTTGCCCACCCTGCGTCAGTACTGTCTTGCCAATTTGTTTTAACGCCGTCACTTGTTCAAGGATCATGCATCCACGGAAAATTTTATCAAAATATCCATATCCATAACATAACATCGGTTAATATTAACTCATATCACCCAAAAAATAAAAACACTAAAAGTTTTCAAGTGGTATTCTAACACAATAAAATGGTCGGAATCTTGAGCACAAATCCAGTAAAAATAGAAATAAATAATGAAAATATATAAATAAAGTAAACGGATTGTATATTAACTCCACAATTTAATTATAAATAATTCAAAGTTCTCCTTTTCAATTTGTTGCATGTATTTTAGGAGAATTGAAAATCAAAAAACACTTTTTTATTAACTCATTTATATGTTTTAAATTTTTTTTACTCAATATATTTTTTAATCCCACTTATTATTTTAAATTAATTTTTTTTGTTTCTCGATTAAGATGTAATTCTTATAAATAAAACATGTAAGATAAAAAAAAATACTTATTGTAAGATATTAGCATTATTAAATTAATTTTGTTTGTTTTTGGATTATTTTAAATTAATATCAAATACGTATTGTTTGTTTTTCTTAATAAATGAAACATGTAAGATAAAAAGAAGACCAAACATATTTTTAATTTTCTTTTTAAATGAATAATGCTTTGACATAGTGTTAGAACATAAAATAAGTTTCAAATCTTAATCAACAACTTTCACATAAGAAAACATATTAGAAAAACAATATTATGAAGATACATTTTTGAGTTTTTGGATTAAGATGTAATTCTTATAGCATTTTTAACTGTTTTTCATTTAATATTGGATCCCAAATTATTTAATATTGGATCCCAAATTGTAAAAGCCGGGTATTTAATTATAATTTTTCAGAGGTATGGCTATATTAATTGTGTGTATTTACACAGGCTATCAAATGATATACGAGAGACAATAACTAGCTTTCCTTCTTGTTAGTGTATCCACCATGTGATAACATTTATAAAATTGAAGAAAATTACAATAATCATGAAATAACAAAGATCATCCAAAAGTGAAAAACAAAACTTCTTATTATATCTGAGATCCGTGTAATTACTATATAGTAAACAAGAAATAGTTAAATAAGGGAATTTTAAAAATTAGAGGACAAAATACTAACAAGGAAACTCCAAAAATAAAAACTAACTTGAACTAAATAATAATATTAATATTATTCATATATTGAAAAATCATGCCCCATTTTCTTATAATCTTTTTCTCTAAGCCTTTTTTTTTAGTTCTCGATTTAAATATCTCTTAAAAATAATAATTAAGGGAATTTTTTGGTATAAAAAGGTTTTTATAATATTTTCTTAAAAGTGAGAGAGGTTTTATTAATTAGATATTCAAACTTTTTTTCATACACTTTGTAGTTTCCAAATACCTCGAGAATTATTGTAATTTGTAGAAAAAAGAAATCTGATACACATTAAATAATTTATTCATCTTTAATATCATCCCCACATGAGCTACTTCCTGTTGGATGCACAGTTGAGAGTGAATGTACGGATTTGGGCCCTTTTTTTTGAGATTTTCCCTTTATATTAATACCCCCTTAGTTATTTTTCTGTAGTTGCAGTGTAAAGTGAAGAAATGATTCTCCAATAAAGTAATTCATGAGCAATGAACTACAAATTTATATTAATGAATTTCTTAATCTTAAAGTATGAGGTTGTAGTTGTAAGCAAATCTGTGGATATGTGACTTAGCACACCAATGGAATGGAAAGCCGTGGGAATTAATTAGCTCAGATTATTACAGCACTCCATTATTGCAATAAAAACAAAGCTCACTCTCTTACCTTCGTCTGGATGTAACTGATATGAGACAACCAAAGTAGCAGAACTGAAAAGAGTGATCACGACCACCATAACTCGGCAAAACTGAAGAAGTCCACGCGGAGGCTGAAGCATCGTGAACATGTTGGGTGCACGAGTAGGAAAGAAGCTTGAATAAGTTTTCATTTCATGAGGTACGTACTTGATTTATACTGGACGCGGGGACAAATTCTTAAATTGGTGAGAATGACCTCTAGCCACTAGATTTGATTTCTTTTCATTTCTCTCTCTCCAAACCGATAAGGGTTGATTGCAAGTTACAAGCTGGTAAATATCGCAACAGGTAATTAATTATGAGTTGGACAAGTTTAAGCTGGTCATCTCTCCAGCCGTTAATTTCTCCCCTTTCTTTTCCTCCATCAGCCTAAATTATTGATAAAATTAACTACAACACGGTAATACTAATTCTTTGGCCGAGTCCAGTCAGACTTATGTTATATATTTTATACAATATCTATACTTACACAAATATTTCTATAAATATCTAGGAAATTTTTAAGGTATTTATATTAAATATTTTGTAATTATAAAATATTTATCCTAAAAAAATTTATTTAAACAAATATCTCTAGGAGCATAAAAAAAAAAGTCTCTCTAGACAACATAACTCTAATATAAAACTTAAATACATTGAAATCTAGAGAATATTCACTCTTCACATCATATGAACGTACACTATACAGGCCCACCAAGTCCTCCGAATCTCGTTTTATAAGCCTATAAAAAGTGTCTATAATCTTTCTTATGAAGATTTTTCCAGCCTTATCAATTGGCATTGTATGTGAAAAATAAATAAAAAGTCAATTCATTTATGTTTCTTAAATTTTTTTTTCATGATTGACAATACATCTACAATTATGCCAACAACACGTGATGCTAGCAGCTAAGCCAATGACACGTGATGCTAGCATCTAAACCAGTGGTTAAACACATCAATTAAGCCCATATGGCTATGCTAATGGCTACACCTAAGGAAACACCCACGATGATGCCCACAACTATGTCTATGGTTATGCTTCATAGCTATGCCTTAAAGCTACACCCATAAACAACTTTTGTATCACCCGGACATCACAGCGATGATAAAAAAAAATTATTGAAAAAAAATACATATCTAGCATCTTGTTCTTTGAGGAAAACGGTCTTATTTAAGGAGTTTACCACCTAATATTATGGTAAATAAAAACCCTAATAGGTCAATAGAGATTCTATGATCCAGGATTGCTTATGCAAAAAGAAAGATGTTATTACCCCTTAAACATCCCCCTAAGGTAGGTTGCATTACTGGTGTTGTCTAAAATTACCAAGTGTTTTGTCCTTTTTTTTTTCTATCATATTCTTGACTCTAACGTTAATAAATAGTGCTTGTGAATATTTTTAGCTATGGCGTTGGTAAATATTGCACAAACCCAAAAAAAATGTGATATTCTTAACTTTGACGCCAATGAATAAGTTCGTGAAATTTTGAATTTTTAATGAAAAAGAAATAATTTTTCTATGCCTTTTCCTTTTTGTTTACCCTTTTATTATTTGATCGATTTAGACAACAATTAAAAAAAAGCATTACATAACATATTTGCATTTAACAGTAATAGTCCACAAATTGAGCATATAGTAGGAAAAAACAAAAAGTAAAAAAAAAAAAAATAAAACACGATGAGCCCACAAATAAATCCACGAAGATCTCCATGTATTTCAGGAATTTTCTAATATTGAAAAAGGGTTTGTTCGACCAAATTTCAAAATAAAAGGGGAATAAAATACATGGAAAAGGTATAATGGTTTATTTTATCAAACACACTCTCATCAAACACAATCTGGATTAACTGGGCTTAGTCTAGTTATTGGTTTAGAACAATAACTGGTTTAGATAGAAAATTCACGCGTGCACTGCACATTACAAAGGTAATTAATACTACCTTCGTATATAGAGGCATTTGAGCCACAAGTTTATTGACTACAAGTTATTATGTTGAATGATTCACATCATTAGCATCGTAGGCTGCTAAAAAGAATTTTTATGGAAAAACTCTTAGATATTTAAACCTGACTTGTCAATTTATTGACTTGAAACTAGCAAATAACATATTGAAAACGAGAAAGATTTCAAACAGAAAAGAGATAAGGAAAAAGGATTTACCCTTATATACATTGTTTCAGGTATTAATAAAAGAGACCTACATTGCCTGAAGTCCATTCCATACTACTGTAAAGTGCACTATGAACACAAAGGTTTTATTACTTTCAATGCTATTAGATAATAATATAAATCATATATTAAGATTTCATCTAAAAACTTAAACTATTGAATTGAGATGTAACAAGATTGTAAAACCACTGTGTCTTTGTCTAGTAGTGTACATCTTATTTATAGAGTTTCTTTAGCAATATTATAGTAAGGTAATTAATATGCAGAAGCAACGTATCCTTTTATATATAGCTATTATCTATAATCAAGGAATTTCCTAGAATCATGGGATTGGGTTCTGATAACAGGTGTAACATGATTTGAGGAGAATCTTGGGGATCCTTCTATATGTGTAAAACCCCCCGCAAGCCTAGTATCTCAAAATCAGAGATGCGAAGTTTGGAATTGAAAAAAATAAAGGCAAGTTGGCCAAGACTTTTGGTGAAAATGTTGGCAATTTGTAAGTGAGCAGGAACTTAACGAATTGTAAGGGCTCTAGAGGCTACCAACTCTCTTATAAAATGATAATCTAAATCAATATGCTTAAAACACTTATGAGAGAGTAGGTTGATAGCAAGAAAAATTGAGCTTTGATTATCATAGAGTAGGATTGGAAAGATTGAGATGATACATGAAGGTCCTAAAGAAGATGTCGTAGCCACTTAACTTCTGTGGCAATATGGGCCAATGCCCGATATTTAGCTTCTTGGAACTCCAGGATACTAGAGTACTGCCAAAATAAATGGCATAACCAGAAATGGAGCGACACGTATCTGAACATCCAACACAATCGACATATGAAGAAGTAGTGAGTTCTCTAGAAAAAGATGGAGTGAAAGATAAGATGAAGCAAAGAGTCCCCTTAGCATAACATAGTACCCTTTTAACAGCCTGAAAATGAGAAATAGATGGCTTATGCATGAACTAACTTATAACACTTACAATGTGATCAATATCGGGACGAGTAATTGTAAGATATTGAAAGGCACCTATAATTGACTGGTAAATAGATGGATCATCAAAATCAGGGCTAGCCATAGAAAGATGTTGAGCAACTACCATGATGTACTAGCTGGTTTGGAGACAACCAATTGTGCATGTTGTAAAATTTCATAGGCATATTTAGCTTGGCTAAGAAAAAGACTAGTAGATGTGCGATAAGCTTCAAATCCTAAAAAAAAAGTTCAAAGAGCCAAGGTCCTTGATGGAAAATTCATGAGTTAGCTTGCCAATAAAGGCATGAAAAAGTGTTGAGTTGCTGCCAATCATGACAATATCATCAACATACATAATAAGTATATTAAGTCATTGATTAGTACTTAAAAGTGTATTTTTATTAAGGTTTTGTACCATCATTTTACACTTGAAGTATCAATAATTCCTTAACTAAAGCATCTTTTATAATAACATATCTAATAATATAAGATACATTTAATTTATAGTAAATGTTCATCTTAAATACAGACCTATCACATAAATGAAAGGATTAATTGATGGGTTTAAGTACTGAAATTAAAAGGACAGAGAGATGGCCAAACTTAGAAAAGAGATGCTGATATAGTTCAAACTGGAACACTATTTGCTAATTAGGTCATATTTGGAGTTGTAGATCTCAGATTTAAGTCTACTTTATATGGATGTAAAGGTAAGATATAGGCCTACAACTTTCATTGGAATTCAAGATTTAAAAAGGCTGTTTTAAAGTCCAAATTATAGCAACAACGAAGAAGACTGAATCTGTCCTGCAACCCAAACACGATTCAGTGTTCAACCCATATCTAGAGTTATATAAGTCCAAATAACCTCAATTTTTTTTCTAAAAAGTTGAGATAATTTTTTACATTTTTCATGTGGAGGTCTAGTTCAAATTCTGATGTTATCAATGATGTTTTGGGCAGACAAGAAGATAAGAATTGTCACCAAGTCAAGAGTTAGCCACCCACTCAACAATTAGTCATCAAATCAATAGCTCCCAATTTTAGCCTATAAAAGGAGGCATTTGCCATGCATTTAGGCATCTTGGTTTCCAGATCAAGAT